CGGGAACCTCGCCCGCAAGATCGGCACCTCGGCGCTCCAAGCCCGAGTTCCCGCTCACGGAAAACCGATTCGGCGCTCTGGCAGCAAACTACCTGCATTCCGAGCCCATCGAGCTCGGCAACACGGAGGCCAGCAGCGCCAGTACAAGGCCCACTCAACAACGAAGGCGCCGACGAAGTCACCGAACCGCCAGCCGTGTCTTGTCAGAGCTCAGAGGCAAAGAAGAGACGAGCTCGGACAAGGTAGGAGCTGCCCCGATTCTCTCAGTTCCTTCCCCCCTCGCATCAGAACTCCTGGCGGTCCCCTTGCCCAGAGATTTCAAGCTCCCACCTCTGGACAAGTATGACGGGTCCTTCGACCCCAACGACCACGATGACGCTTTCCAGTCCCAAATGCACCTCGCCAGGGCCAGCGAATCGTGCATGTGCGTGGCCTTCACCACCACTTTCAGGGGGGTAGCCCGCACTTGGGACAGGAACCTAGCCCCTGGGTCGATAAAGTGCTGGGCCCAGTTCGTGCAGGTCTTCACCGCACACTTTGTCACCAGCAAACGGTGCCCCAAAACAGAGGAAAACATCTTCGGAGTAGTCCAAAGGGAAGGAGAATCCATCTGGGGCTACATCAAGCGATTCAATGAAGCATGCTTGCAGATACCGTGGTTAGACCCCGCGGTGCAGCTCGCGGCGGCCAAAAGATGAGTAACACACAAAGAGTTCAAATGGCACATCGTAGCTAACCAACCCGCAACTGTGGCCGAATTCCTCAAGCTCGCGGACAAGTTCATGAGGACAGTGGAAGAAATCAACCAACGAACCGAAGGCGGGAACGAGAAAAGAAAGAGGGAAGGCGAGCCCTCCAACCCAGTCGACAGGAAAAACCCGGCCCGGGAGCCGAAGCCAAACCAGTCGTTCCGGGCTCCCCTAGCAGTTCGGATGTATTACACGCTGTTAAACACGAGGCAGACCGAGATCTTAATGACAATCAAGGACGCCCCATACGTGAAGTGGCCACCTCGCCTATAGGGAAATCCGAACGAGAGAAATAAGAATTTGTATTGTAGTTTCCATAGAGACCACGGTCATAGTACCGAGTAGTGTAATAATCTCCGGGACGAGATAGAGGGACTCATCCGTCGCGGATACTTAAGAAATTTTTTACAGCA